CGGGCGAAACTTTACCCCCAGAAAGTCGATGTTCCAATCTAACTGCGCGCTTCGAATAAGGTCAAGCACCTCTTGGTTTCCATGACTTGTGAATCATGGACGAACTTTTTATAGTGTTTTGTATCTTTGAAGTGGCCAATATAGTGCTTGACCACAGCCTCCGGATAAGCTTTAGACTAGAGCTTGTCCACCTCCACACTAGCTTTCAGATTAAGTGTTAGAGTTCGGTTGTGACCCGAATTTCTATTGGAAGTTCTATTAAGAGTTGATAGTATACTTTAAAAAAGTCTTGAAGAAGTTAAATACGTATTTGGCAGTTTTTATCTCCTATTTCAACTCAAATAGAGAGATCTGGGTGGATCTAGATTAATAGAAAGAGACTCGCAAATTAAGATATCCAAGAGAGAGTCTTGTGAGATTCAGTCTAACATATTATAATTCTTTATTGTTGAAATAATGAATTATCCGCCTCTACATGGGGTTTTTTCATCTTTGATTTTCACGTAAATCTTGTATTCTTGTAATTGTTATTTTTATATTGCCTATATCTCATTTTTAATATTCATAACAATTGGCTCAATTTCTAACATCAACTTTCTCCTTGGCATTTGTCTCAACTTTGGCCTTCAAATCAAAATTTTCTTTCTTCATTGTATTGGCCTCAACCTTAAGCTCCCCCTTGACTTTGTTGGCCTCCTTCAAAGCTTTGCTAGTAATACTCTGAAGGGTGTTATGGTTGTCGAGCTGATTGTGTTTATATTCGTCGTGGGCATAACTTGGATCCTCAATCATCTTCTTCAACCTTTCATTTTTGTAGCACTTGAATTTCCATTAAAATATTCGATTTTATTTTAATATTACCGATGATGTGTCAACAACATATGACTACAATCGAAAAGAAAAACAAAACGACAATGAGAAAATAATCTTCAATCCACAACTCCGACTTACTCCCAATGAGTTTCGCCACCTCACTACCACCTATCTTTTCGTCTTCCTGATAATATTCTTCGCTCTTTTAATTCACCATTCTTCCACAAACATGATTGCACAAGAAATAGAACACCTACATCTCCTTGGCTTTAACAATAGCAAGACTATTTTTAGAAGATCAATGCTATAAAAATTGTAAGCTTGAGAGAGCTAAATGCAATGGAAAAATAATGGATTGAGGACATAGGGATAGAGAATATCTATACCAATTGAATAATGCTAGGTGTAAATCATGTAGTTGACATCTTTGTGTACACTCCATTTTTTTTTTCAAAACCGTCCAATCATGCGTCGCCACATGACATAATGTCAAAAATGATGTAAAAAAATGTGTACATATAGCATGATCGATACCAATTTCCCTTTCGTGCCTAGCAACATTTCTACCTACCACTAGTACCATGTAATGCTACATGCCTAAAAAGTAAAAAAGGCACTTGAAGCACTGTTAAGTGTCCTAAAATTATGTGTCGCCTGTCTTCCCATTACTTGATAATTAGTCAAT